TGTACTACCGGTAAATCTTCAGTTTAGAGGTTTTATCATTAAACATAAAAATCAATATAATTCAAAATATAATAACATTATCTAAAAATTCGTAATTTAATTTTCAAAACTTGCATTTAAAAAAAACATTCTATAACAATATGAGTCTGATTTGTTATCCTTTTAAAATCAAAATTATATATGTATAAATTTAAAATGTAAAAACCAAGAAAATATAACAAAAATTATCTAAACTTATAAATATAAAAACAAGAAAACAGGATAAAAATTAAATTTTATTTAATAAAAAATGTAATAATAAATCTTTAGATGATTTTTATTATATTTTGGTGTTTTAAATTTTTAATCTATATATATATATATATATATATATATATATATAATGTTGATGTTAAAACAAATCAAACTCGTATATTTACAGAAAGTTTGAAAAATGCTAATTTTAAAAATTTAAGTTACTAATTTTTAGATAATGTTATAATTTTTTTTTAGATATTTAACGATAAAAACCATTCAACTATCTTTAATATGGGGGTTTACTAGTTAGTTTGGGGGGTTTTACCCAAAAAAACGTAGTTAATGTATTTTAGAGTTAAAAATCCATTTTACAAGGATAAGAAATCACGCTTATGTTTACAAAAAAAAAATTAAAATGCTAGTTTTGAAAATTAAAATTACGAATTTTTAGATAATGTTATTATATTTTTATTTTTTTATTTTTTATGTTTAATGATAAAACCCCTAAACTAAAAATTTACCGGTAGCACTGGTAATTATGACTGGCGAGGGTTTAATTCACTAAATAAAGGTAGTTTGGAGGTTTTTTCATTAAATACTTAGTTTAGGGGTTTTTATCCAAAACAAACTTAGTTGAGGGGTTTTTATGTTAAAAATCCAATAAACAAATATATCGACATATAAATACAACTAAGATATGTTACATATGATAAAAACAAAAATAAGACGAAAATATAAGTTTTTTAGAAACTTACATATTACAAATAGTAGTTCTATGAAGTACTAGTAGTCCATATTACAAATAGTAGTTCTTAAAAATACTGAATTACATATAGTAGTCCTAAATAGTTCTCAGTAGTCTGAATAACACATAGTAGTCTAGATAGTACCAGTACTTTATATTACGCATAGTAGTCTTCATTAGTTCTAAGTAGTACCCGAACTGAACTACTTCCACATTCAAAATACGATGCCATATATCCTCCTCTGGCTCTGCCTCTTCCTCTAGCTCCTTTTCTTCCTCTTTTTCCTCTTCCACAGGATTTTCTACTAATAGAAATCTTGTTTGTTATGGTTTTCCTTTCTTCATTTCAAAATCTGGAGGAAATATTTTCTTTACTCTAACATCATCTGGTATAACCCAATCAGACATATGAGGAACATGATATATTGTCTTGTGATAAGACAAATCTCATTGTTCCACTAAATAGTATTTTGAACAATACTCAGATATATGAAGTTCCTTACCCGCTGCCTTAGTCATGTATTTGGCAGCAGTTACTCCATGCACGCAAGGGTATTTATCTTTATCAAATTTCTCACAGGTGCAATTTTTCATATCCAAATCAATGGTACAAACCTTTACGTCAGAACCATGCACACTGTACTCAAGATGGAAACTGTTTAACTCTTCAACCGTGAGAAACCCTCCTTCAACACATCTTATAGACATTTCAGCTTCTACAATAGGCACAAGCTTCAGTGTGTATGGATCTCAACTGCCTTCTTCCTATACTTGTTAAACTATTCAGCCATTGTTGGAATGAGGTGAACTTTCTCGCCTCCTTAATAACCCCATTAAAAAATCTACTGAATTGGTGGTGTCAACATTGTATCTATCTCCTCCAAAGTAACATCTATCCAATTTCTTCACTTCAACACTTTTGTCAAGACACAACGCGACACTTGGATACTTCCTGCGAAAAGCATGAAAAATGTACTTGAACTCCGCATATGTATAAGCGTGTACGCAGTCTCTAAACTTGAATGCATAAGTATCTTTGTTGTTATGGACGTGTAACATTCTGAGACAAATGCCATATATAATACCCATGTTCGGCCTCAGGGAACACTAGACGTATTGACTTGATCAAGCTTTTGTTTCTATCTGAAAGAAACACCAATCTAGGGACATCGGATATTACTAATTTCAACTGTTCCATAAAATATATCCAGCTCTCATCATTCTCACCATTTGCTACACCAAACACAATTGGGTAGTGGTGATGATCGGGATCATGAGCAGTCGCAACAAGGAGAACTCCACCATAAGCATTCTTGAGGTGTGTTCCATCCACAATGAGGATTTTCCTCATCGTACGGAATCCTTCTATGCTAGCTCCAAGGACAAAAAACAGATACATAAATTTATGGGCCTCATCCACTTCCACACGATATCTTATGCCAATATTTGTTTGCTCCAGCATGTGCATATAACAGTGTGATAAAGTAAAAATCTCTTCTGGACTTCCTCGCACTTCATTAGCAGCTTCTCTTTTTCCTCTCCATGTCGTGGTGTATAATACATTTACAACAACCTTGCGATGAACCAAATCAATTAGAACTTTGGGAACTGGTATGTCAAATGTACCAGGATAATCTCGAGCCAAAATAGATGTAACTATTTATGGTGAGCCTTTCCTTTTATCACGCAATGTTCTTATAGTAACAACAAAACATGTATGATGCTTGATGTAACTTATAACCGTCCAAAGATCTGAATTATCTAACTTTGCAACTCGCACAAACCACTTACAACCTTCTTTGGCTCCTCGGCATTTAATCACAATTCTCTTAGTATCCAACTTAACTATATCAAACTCAAAACATTTCTTATGTGAAGCCGTCTGAATATGAAATTTTTTGCCTCTTTAGTGGTAAGTTCTTGACCTAAAACCATATCTATACCATCATCACGTGGCTTATAGTCAACTGCTGGTCTTACATATGTATCTTCATACATGCTCATCTCTTTCGTTGACATTCTCATGCATATCAATGTCTTGGTGAAAAGTGAGTACACCACCAATAACTTCATCATCAGTTGAACCGTTCCCAATACCATCTTCATCATCATTATCTCTATTAGGCAATGTTCTTGTAACAACATAACATGTCTGCTGGTTGATATAACTTCTAACCGTCCAAAGATCTGAATTCCTTAACTTTGCAACTCGTGCAAACCACTTGCAGCTATCTTTGGCGCCTCAACATTTAACCACAAATCTCTTAGTATCTGACTTAATTATATCAAACTCAAAACATTTATGATATGAAGCCATATGAATATGAACTTTTGTTACCTCATTGGTTCTAAAGTCTTGACCTATAACTAAATCCATATCATCATCTCGTGGCTGATTGACACCATCATGCATCTCATTATCTTCGTGATAAGTGAGCACACCACCAGTACATTCATTATCAGGTGCTTCATTCTTAGAACCATCTTCATCACCAGCCTATATATCAGTAGCCTCTCTATCAGATAGACTAGCATATACATTAGTTTCATATCCTCATTTGAAAGTTGCACTTCTTCATTGTTGAACTCCACATGTAGAACACTTCTACACATCTCATGATTTACTTGCAGTAGATAACCAAAACCGTCTTCATCATTCCAGATACATGATGGTTTGTACAAATACAGTACCATTGGAAAGTAACTAATCTTCACTTCCATCTTTGATTCATCTACCTTTATCTTTCTGCAAATACGCTCAACCAAATCAGAGTAAGTGACCTCTTCAACACAATCGTGTGAATTTCATCTTGTCCTCCACCATCTTCTGAGATCCATTAAATTTCAGCCATTTCCTTTACATAATATCCCCCATAATCAAAATAAATGACTGAGCAATGCGGATTTTTTCATTTTTCTGAAATAAAATGGAATTCATTAGTTTTATCATTATTAAGAAGCTTAAAATTAAATCTCACACCATACAATTTTCTCTTACTAATACTAATTCATTTAGGTACTATACATAGTAATATTAACTAGTAATACTAGTATTATCAATGGAACTTGTAAACATAGTAATATTAGTAAGACCAGTAAAACCACTTTGCCTTAATAAACCTAGTTCTCTAAGTAATAGCTAAAAATTATTCTTGCACTAACTAATCAGCTTTTCAAGACGATATTGTTAGAATTTAACATTACCCATAATGTATAATTCATCTTAATGAAATTGTAAACATAAAACCATCAAAACGAACATAAGTTATACTCAAATTCATAAAAATAGTTTTCAAAATCGTTTTTAATCTTTCAAATTTTCATCATATCTTACACTGTTTTACATTGCCCATCATATACATGACATTTTAATGGAGTTTCACAAAAAAAAACATAAAAAACAAACCAAAATCATATGTTTTTGGAGCTTCAAAATTGCCAATGGGGGATGAGAGAAAACTCACTTTTACGATGAAGAAGAAGACATATGGGCTAGGTTGAGATCTCATTGGTTAAGATTGTTTTGTGGGCTCTGTTGATGGTTGAGTTGTGGTCTATTTATTTAATTGGAGAAGTAAAGGAAAAGTTAGTTTGGGGAGTACAAGAATAAAATGGTAGTAAGAATAAGAAGGGGTAGTGAGAATAATTTTAAGGGACAAGTCGCATTTCGAGTTAATTTCCAGGTCAAGTAAGAATTAAACGCCGCCTTATCATGCTAAAAAGCAGTCGCCTCTCGCAAAATTAAATTAGACCAATTGAGCATGTGTTTGATACTGATTAGTACGTTCTTCTACAGTCAAAAAGGGGTTGGGTCATATGAAACCTCTCTCAGTGTATTATTTTTGTCTTGCTATAAAATAATTGATAAAGATTAACTTTCTGGTGTTGAAAACACTTGGTTTCAAGTTTCAAATGAGGCTGAATAAACATGTTAAACCCATTTTCTCAATGCTCTGAGTTCGGGTTTGAAGGAAGTTTATGTAAATATAGTGTCTGAAACATCCAAAGGATTTGAAAGATGGGTCTCTCAAGCCTTCCTAGTCCGTCAGAAGGAATGCTATGTGTGATATTAGTTAACACAGCCTTATCAGTCTCCATCTTCAAAGGCATTGTCTACTCAGTGCTTCACATTATAGGAATCCATTTATCTCCATCTTCAGCAGCAGCTGCATCTTCAGAGAATCAAACATAGCCTTTTGATTTCTGGGTCTACCACCCTGAGAGTTTCCTTGGGAAATTTAGGAACAGGATCCACACAATGAAATATGAGAGCTTGTGCAAGTGCAATATACAGACATACAACGAGTGTTATGTATGCCTGACGAAATTCGAAGAGGATTCAGATATCAACAAGCTAAAATGTGACCACTTGTTTGACAAAACATGCTTGGAGAAATGGATAAACTAGTGGAACATCCCTTGCCCACTCTGTAGACTCCTCTTGTTGTTGTGGCAGCAGAAGCTCAGCAGATTCCTTATAATGTTTGGTGACTACTTTTCTTTGTATATATATGTTTTTTTGGATTTGGGTGTGTTTGTTGGTGTGTACAACTACTACTAGTCTACTACTACTTTTACTACGGTATTAGGCTGCTGTCACAGTTGACTTTTTTTTCATTGAACTGCGATCACGGTTGATTCTTCAACAGATTCAGACCTGGTATGGGGTAATCTGATGGACATGTCCTGTGAGTTATACATGTATAATGGAAGCTCTTGTTTGAACATAGTCTTGATGACCATAAATTTATGGGTGTGTATTAAGAACTCAGGCTTACAAAAAGTTGTGTGGATAAAGAAGATTTGACACTTAGGTATTGAGATTAATATTTGAACAATAGCACTATTTAAAAGCTTGTCTTATAAAGGAGAAAAGATAAGAAGTGGAAACGTAGCATACGAAGTAAACCCATCACTCCAAAATCGAGGACAGATTTAAGGTAAGATGATGGGATAAGAGTGGCCTACACCTACATTGCAGTTGATCTAATAGTTAAAGGAGTTGTTCAGTAGCAATTAATTAATGTTAATAAATTATGCTGGACAAAGGCATATCTTAGTGGACTTTGCTAGCAATGACATTGTCTCACCACTCGGTTTCAAACGTTTTGCCGTATATATACAAAACAAACCAGCAATATGTGAAGCGTTACGAAATGAGATCATCATCTCCTGCTTTGTGATTGCAACAACTTGGAAACGCAACGACAGAGTCTCAGTATCCGAGGATATCCCACTTCAACACCATCCACTGCAGATTCTATATCTTTCATCAATTGTTTCGACGCAACACCATCACTTTTTGCGCCTGTAACTTCGCCAGGAATTATGTCGGCCGGATACATCCCACTGTTACAATAGAGAAGAACATAAACAGTCACTATAAACAGAGTCTTTATGCGTAAAGATGATAGTTAGTTACTGAGATCTACTTACTGGGTCAAGCACGTCATATCGAGAGTTACGATTGCTTTTCTCAAGCTTTCGCAATCAACAAAGCTAATTTGCAAATAAAGCTGCTCCGCTGCAATCAACAAGGCACACTAGAACTAGTCATTAAAGGATTTCTGAAATTGCCCCTATTGTCAAACTAGCTAGTACAACTAAAAGGAAAAGTGAGGAAGGAAAATCGATCACCTGATGGAGATTCAAATCGTCCTTGGACCAAATTTGGTATCTCCATTCTAGCTAACTGTAATTCCTCAGCCACATTTAGCAGATTATGTACGACCAGACTAGTTTTCTGCATGTTCAGAGCAAAGTGAGAAAAAAGCACACAAGAAATATTTTCTGGACAGTGATTCTTCTAGAGGAACTTACAAACACTAATGAGAAAGGAAACATGACTTGAAACATATAGTTCATCAAGATAGAAAATTCCCTAATATGCTATCATAGTATTAAGGGAGCAATTACACCAAAACTAGGTCACAAACTCACCTGTGTAATCTCCAACAACGTACTGGTACCAACATATTCCCGGGAGTATTCAGCATTAAACAAGGAGCTAAACGCAGTTGAAACATTCATGTCTGGTAATTGCTGAAGAAGAATACCTAGATTAGAGACGAAAGAAAGATGATGTTTAATGAAAGGAAAATAGGTTCGTTACTCTTACCTTGATGAACGCATCACTCAAATCGTTTGAAATTATTACACATGAAGCATGACCAGGCTTTAATGTGAGCCTGTATATCCCAGATTTTTTTTCCAAAAAAAAAACATATCGCTTATTTATATGTAGTCAAACGTAGGAAACATATTCCTTATAAATTTTATTGAAAGATAAAACCAATAGGACCAACCTTTGGTTAATCAAGCCACCATAATTAAGAACTATGCTCTGACAATCATTCGTTTCTCCTAAACTGTCAACTTTCCAGACCTGCCAACAGCACAAGAGTTATTCACGTAGAAAAAATAATACTTTTGTTTAAGATCACCATGTCTACAGAAATAAGACAGTCGATACCAGAATATCCTGACGTATAAGTCTGCAACTCATTTTCTTTTTCAATTCATCTTCAGCAATCATAACAGCGTCTGTATATGCAGGTTCTCCTATTATCTTGTCGCACGTAGGAAAACACTTGATCAAGGTCTTGATTTTTGAGTCCAATTCTTCGATCTCCTGTGTTTTCTCAGCTTCTTTGCTAAAAGTAGCCTAGAAAAATAATTATAAATAAGTGTAAGTACAAATAATAGAAGTAATAGCATCCATCTCTTATCTACAGAAGTATCATGAAACCCCGGGGGCGAAACATTACATCTGATATGTAAACAAATACAGCTTTTCTACCAGTAGCATGAAAAATCATCACTCCTAAATATTTTTTTTTCATGTCTACCAAAAATATTCTGAGCCTGTGAAGAGTTAAGGCGTCTTACTTATAAAAACTGTGAGGAACAGACAAACCAACATATTCCTGTAATGGGTATTCCAAAGTGGTATAATTACCTCATGTGGTTGCACAGGAGTTAACAAGCCAGTAGAATAGAAACCATGTTGACGTAAAAGCTTGGCACAATTCAACCTCAGTGTTTCAGATGTTTGTACACCAGTGGTAACTACTTGACACTTTTTCTGCATGCAAAAGTGAAATATGATCAAGCAAGCAGAATCAACAGAGATTTTAAAACGAGGAACAAAGTAATTACCCTCATTATCTCTTGCTTGAGGTGCAACAACTCAATTTTGGCTTTTTCATATGCTAACTTACAGAGTAATGATCTACTGTCAGCACGTCTGAAATAGCACACACAATGAATGTTACACACTTGAAATTATTTTATTCTGAAGAATATATAAAGGCAGTACTGGGAGAACCTCTTTGTCTTAGCATCAGTCAAGTCGTCACATACTTTCTACGATTAAAACAAGATCATCAGTTTACATATATCTAGGAAACATGATAGCAGAGAGTTCTGGTTTAGGCGGACCTGAGATTTAATTTGAAGACAAAGCATCTCACACAAATGAGCCTTCTTCAAGTATGTTGATATATCTTCCAGCTTGCATACCTACAATTTTGGAACATTAATTCTGAAACTACAAAAGCTGAAAGGAGAACAATCTCAGTAACCATACTGGGATCTCACAGAGGAAATAATACCTGTCCTAAGTTCAGCTTATTGGCCAATGGTGCAAACATTTGATTAATTTCTACTGATAACTTTCCTGGAATCTGCGAGGTAGTGGAAGAAGTAACTTAATAGTATGAAAAAAGTGGGACTAGCTTCATTGATATACCAGATTATCAACAGTACTTACTTCTACCCAGTTTACTTGTTCACGAACTACACGGCCGTTGTTAACATCGTTTCCATCAGGTTGGTCCATCACTGGATTTGAAATATCCTGTGTGCTTTGCCTGACTTTGGGGCTACAATTTTTGGCAGCAGGATCAACATCTCTGGCTTTCCTTTTCAATCTGGATGGCCCCTGCAAATTTTGAAAAATCTCGCTCAACATTAATTGTATCACTAGATCTTTTCGGATAGCGTTAAAAGATGATATTCTTCTTCAGCAATCTGAATAATTTCTTAAATGCACAGCTCAATGTCTTTGATGGGATCTGAGTCGAAATATTCAATCTGAATGCTCTCGTTCAGCTGTTGGTGTATGAAGGCCAATGTGAAGATTTACAACAGTCGCAGAGATCATAAGATCTCTTCCCTTCAGAAATGGTTAGGTAATCCATTTGCCCCATCGACAGATAGTTCTTCACAATTCATGGATCAAGAATTATACCTTAGCATGTGAAGCCTCATTCCTACTTCTGTCCACAGGTGAAGAGCCAGCTGTACCAGGACGGTCTTGTGTCAGAACAACAGGACAGTCTTCAGTGAAGATAACCTCAGTTTCACAGTGGGCAGCACTGACGTTGTTAGTTCCTTTTCTATTTTTCTTCGTCACGCTGTCTTCCACGTTTTGTTGAGCAGAGCCGTTCAAGAAGCCTGTCTCGCTGAGTGACACACAAGACTCCACAAGCAGGGAATCCATATGGTAGGATAACGTATTCAGGGAATGATTACTAACAGAATCCTTGGTTACCTGTCCATCCTCAGTCTCAGAATTGCCGACGGCTTTACTTTGCTGCTCTCGGTCAGTAACACAATTGTTCAAAGCTGAGGTAGTCGCATGTGAGGATTTTGCTAGAGACGACACAAACTTATCAGGGGTGCTGGCTGTCTGATTTCTTTCCTGTTCTCTTAAGAGTGAACCCTCAATCTTAGAATTAGTGTTTCCTTCTGGAGTTATGCATGTAAACACATCGCTACTGTCAACAACAGGGCTCAATGCACCACAGCTAAGTTGATAAGGTGCGCCTTGATTTTCAGACACTGGTGTTGGGTTATCATGTTTAGATAACAAATCGTCCAAGTTAGTAATGGGGATATCTTTACGGACGCCTGTTTCTTCCCTGCCAATAGTTGATGGGGTAGTAAGAGAACGGCGTTCGGACAATTGAAGCTTCGATTTCTCAATTCTCTGAGAAAGAGCAGAAGCAGGGGAAGGGTGAATCAATCCAAGTCTGGATTTGCTTTTCTGGATGGTTGACAAGCTCTCAACGAGCGCGAGAGTTTCCCTGCTCAAAAAGCTTCCACCTTGTTGAGGAGAAGGAGTAACACACTGCTGCATTCTACCAACAAAAGACGCACTTGGCATTCCTGATTCCTGCAGCTCCATTTGAGGGTGAATGCCAGAACCACAAGGTGACAGCATTTGAGAAGCATCAGTGCTATATATACCCACAGGAAAGCTTCCATTTTGAGAGGACAAAGAAAATTCATACAGTGGAGATCTTGGTTCAACACTATTGTCTGGAGATGCAGGAACGGGTTCCTTGCTTTCATCTCCCAAGAGAGCAGCTAACGCAGGAGTTATATGCCCGTAATCATATCTTCGAGAATCTTGACCTACAAGACTCATGTCATTCGAGTCTTCACCACCACCACCACCACTTACTTTGTTAACAACCGGTAGAGGGGATTTCGGAAACAGCTTCTTAGGGTATGTTAACACCATCGCACTCCCTGTATCAGATCTTGCGGTAACCTGAGTTGGTGTATTATCTTCTACTGGAACATGGCTGCTCGTGGGGGTCCTCAAATCTCCAGACTCAGACATGGCAAGGCTCCGGAAATGCATTGAAAACGCTGTGGAGTCCATCGTGATATCATGGTGTTCTTCAGAGAATGTAGCGTCTGATAGTCTCCCAGGGTTGATAAAATGGGAAGACACAGGTCCGAAGAAATCGTTCCCTAATTTCAATTTCAAGATTCAGATTTAAAAAAAAAAAAAAAAAAAAAAAAAAAAAAAACCCAATGGAAGCTTTACCGTCATCACTTGTAGCAGAACCAATAGTGCTACCACCTGAAGAAGGCGAATGACTGGGTCTCAAGAATAACTTCTCCACAGGGTCGTCGTCTTCACCATCGCCCGTGTCTTCGCTATCAGCTAATTCACCGAAAAACCTAATTACTTTGTCCTCAGAGTCTGATGTGACAGCTTGTTCGCCGTTTTGCGGATTCGGCGGCGTCTCGTAATCTTCGTCACGCTTGAAAATGTGGACGGAAGTAATCTCCCGGTCCGCGAAGCTCACTCGTCGGAGCCGCTTTCTCCGCTGAGCTATAGTCTCGTCGTCTGTTCCGGCCGTGTTGTTCATCGCATCTTCGGGCTTTTCCGACGCCATAGGGGGGGGGGGGGGGGGGGGGGGGGGGTTAGAGAGAGGATTTGGGGGAATTCTAGGGTTTTAAAATAATTGATTTATTGGAAACTATTATGTGCGGGAACTGCATACTTTTTTAAAAGGTAAATGGCGACAGATTTATTCGCGTATTTCAATTACTGCTAATCTGCTATTCAAAAACCGCAAAAATACACCAATCACATTTTTTTCTTTTAAAAATATCTAATTCCAAAAACACGCACCATTTATCTATTTGCATTTTTCAAAAGGACAATTCTTTAAAATAGTTTTTTCAATTTTTTATCACAAAATAGGTTTCAAAAACTAAAATTACTAAAATAATATTTTTATTTTGAAAATTTAATTTTTTATGTTTAAATTTAAAATCTTATCTCGAAAATCCACTCCGTAATTCTAAACAAAAGGATTAGTTAGCCCAAATTTATTTTTTTTATTTCTAATGTCTAATATTTGTGACAAAAAAATTTTTAGATCAATCATAAATAATTTTTCATATATTTCTTTTAAAATTATTCATGACCTATTTTTTACAGTGAATTTAGTAAACCCGCTAATGAGAAAAGAAATACAGCTTTTTTTTTGCAGATATACAACTATTTTGTTATTTAAATTCTTCTAATAAATGCTATTATAAAAAGGTGATTGGATGATCGGTGCAAGACATATATTTAAGTATGTTATTAATACAGTATGACTTAAAGTCTAAACTATAACAAAGAATTTGGCAATATAAGCGGTATTAAATAGAAATGGGGTATGTTGCAATATCAATTCATGTGTTATGCGTAATAAATGCGGTTAATATAAAATATGTAGATGGTTTTAATAGAAAAAAATAATGATGAAATGAGTACAAATAAAATTAGAAATTTAATTGGTCTACCAATATCAGAATACTCTTTTTATTTTTAGTATTTTGTTGAAATTATTTTTGTAATAAAAATAAAAATTTAGATATATTATTTATTTAATAATTTTAATTACTACAATTCATTTATTTTCAATAAAATTTTAGATATATAAAATAAATAATTCTAATAAGTAAACAGACTAGATTAGCCCATCTGGATACTATTAGATAAACTGTTAAACTAGAAATTCAACAAAATTATATTAAAAAAAAGAATAATACATTAATATCCATATAATATATTGGGATAATTTTTAAAATACCCTATTTAGGATTTGACATTTGAAAAATATATTGTCTTTAATTTTTTTTTCTGAAAATGATACTTTCTTAAATGTAAATTTATCTTTTTACCCACATTAGATAATTAGACAATGTTTTTTAAAAAAAAAAACTAGATACAAACAGTCATCATAATTAGAATGTCTACAAAGTTCAAGTAAACCATCCTGGAAGCAAACAAGTAATAGTTGGTTCAGCAAGAAACTAAATTTTATAAAACTTAAATGTTGTGAGTTTACTTGACATTGGGAACCGAAAACCGTACCAGAAGTTAAATGAAACCTAAAATAAGCTCCAAACTGTGGGAGTCGCATATCAAAATAAGCTCGACAGTGGGAAATATTTCCTTTCGAGAATTTAGGCGACGTCTCGCCCGTTCTTTTCGAAAATATTTTGATATGCGAATTTTTCTCGTTCGTTTTACTCGGCATTCCCAATGTTGTGAGTTTACTTGACATCGTAACAACAATTAGTAGAAGCAGAATGACAGTTAGAAAAACAATACTTCCCCACTATAAACAGTGAAACAACTTTATAATATACACCAAAATTATCCAGTGAGCGATGACAGAACAAAGCATTTACACAAAGATTGCTCAATTATATAATTTCTCTCTGTTGCCAAAAAAAAAAAAAAAAAAAAAATTCTCTTTAGCAACCTCTAAATGATTACTACTTTTCAGTTTCAGACCACGAATAAATGTAATGACCATAAACAAAGAAAAAAAACAAACTCGATCAAATCAAACGAGTCAAAGACAAAACCAGATCAAAACACCGTTAATTAGGACTAGGACTTATATTCGGGATCTGGATTCGATCCAATATCCGCTCTGCTCTGAAATTATGATATTCAGGGGTGTCCGAACCAAATCCGGATAGTACAATCTCTGATCCGTGCAAAACCCGAATCCGGATCCGCATATCTTAATTTTTAGGTCCAGATATCCGAATTTGGATTTGTATTTTAAAAATATATTAAATTTTTATTTTATTTTTAATTATATATGATATATTAATATTTATACATAAAATAAATTTAATAATATACTCATAAATTATGTTAAATATTTAGTTTATGTATTATTTTTAGAAATTTATATTTTCTTTTTAATTTTTAATCATTTTTACGGATCCGAATCCGGATATCCCCGGATATCACAATATCTAGATGGATATCCGAAACTAGCATATCCGAAAGACACGAATCCGAATCCGGATATTAAAATCACGGATCCGACGTATCCGGATACTTCAAATTTCCCGGATATTTGGATCCGTCCCACCCATACAGCTAATGACAACGGAACTCATGGACAAACATCTTGATGAGATCTTTGAAACTAAAGAAAAATGAGAATAAAAATTCAGAATGGAAAGGATATGAAAAGAAGAGACAGTGTGTCTTTAAGTTATTAAAAAGGATATGGGAAAGATACTATGTAAATATTCTTTAAAAAATGTTATGTAGATTTTCTAACGAATTCTTTTTTTTACAAATTAAAAATGTATATTAGGAATTAAGAAATATTAAAAGGGGAAATTTTTCCAATATGACTCAAAATTTGATTTTAAATGCAAAAATGTACCCATACTCAAATCAAATGCGAAAGTAACTCAAAAGGCTAGTGAAAATACAAACGTCTCTTTATAACCAAACAAAAAAACAGGATTGTAGTTTACCATTATAAACTTGCGAATGAGAAGACTTCCCTGAAAGTCTTCCCATGCTGTAGATCTTAAAAATAATTTATAAATTTAATAAATAATATTTTGGTTAGTAAAAAATCCTACTCATGTAACTATTGACATTTATAAATGATGTAAATATAAAATTAGTAAAATTGAATAGTTTTCAAGATAGATGAGTGAATATAAGTTAGTCTTGATACTCTTGGTTTAGGGTTTGGTAACTATGTTGTAGTATTGTATGTGCTTTTAGGGTTAGATCGTGGAAGCTTAACATTTTTTTTTTTTTAAAAGTAAATTTTAGCTATGTGTTTAATTTTGTGTAGATTAAACACTTTATAAGTTTAATTTAGCTTTGATAAATTTGTTGTATGTGATTTAGTTATATATATTTGACCTCTTTGATTTTGGGGTTTTAGAAGACTTATGAAGACTTAATAATAGTTTCCACCTCAAAATTTAGGTTTTCCGCTTAAAATTCTAAAAAAAATTAGGCTTCCCATTTAAAATTAAGTCTTCCAATGTCTTCTAAAGTCTTCCAGAGAAAGTCTTCTAAAGTCTTCCAAGGAAAGTCTTATAATGTATTAGTTCTTAAAATAGTTTATAAATTTCATAAAAAAAATTTGATTGGGGAAAAATCATAATCATCTAATTATAGATATTTGTAAGTGATATAATTTAGACGTAATAAACTTGAATTGTTTTCAACAAAGATGAGTGAATGTAAGTTAGTCATGATATTCTTTGGTTTAGGCTTTGGTAACTATGTTGTAGTATTGTATATGTTTTTAGGGTTAGATTGTAGAATCTTAACATTTTTTTTAAAGTAGATTTTAGCTATATGTGTTTAATTTTGTGTAGATTAAACATTTTATAAGTTTTATTTAAGTTTAATAAAGTCTTTGTATGTGATTTAGTTATATATTTGATTTTAGGGTTTCAGAAGACTTATGAAGACTTAAGCAGACTTACTGGAAAGTCTGCCAAACCGAAGCAAACCCTAATTTTTACCTTCAATTTGAACAAAACCGGAAACATTACATCAAACCTAACTAAGATACTAACCGGACATATAAATACCATTTTCACACTTTGTGGTAAAAAAAAGACGAAACCCTAACCGATATCTATTGGAGGCGATATCATAGGTTATTTCCGGCGAATCTCGTGTCTCCGTCGTTCTCAACGCTGGTAAGCTACTTTCCGGTGAATCTCGTTTATCCTTCATGTGTGTAGAGTATCTTAGTAGGCTAAACTAATCAGAGTCTTTTATTTGCAGATCTGAAATTTTTTGCGTTTCGGTTTTTTGCCTCCACCGCCGGTAAGCTCTTCCTCTTTGCTGTCGAGTCTATGTTTTTGACACTATGATGACATCCTCTTCCCCGTCGAGTTTTTCAGATCTGTAACCACTTGTCGTCAGCGGCCATAAACTCACTGCTTTGAACTGTAAACTTCGTCGGTTCCTAGTGTAAGTTCATCCAGTTGTTCGATTTGTGATCGATTTATATATTAAGATTAACACAATTTTTAGATATCTATGGTATGATTAAGGTTCTACTGGAAGACTTAAGTAGACTTTGGAAGACCTACTGGAAGACCTTCGAAGACATCAGAAGACCTCGGAAGACCTACTAAATGTCTTCCAGAGTCAAAACTTTGGAAGACTTACTGGAAGACTTTAAGTATGTATTCTGAGGTCTTCCCAAGTCTTCTTAAGTCTTCTAGGTCTTCTTAAGTCTTCCAATACAAATCCTTAGTTTATTTCTCCTTTTCTGTTTAGTTTGTGTTTGAGATGTTGGTTTTTTAATTGTTTTACAGAATGGGAATGGATTTACCAGAACTCCCTCAGAGAGTATTTACTTTAGGGGAGGAGCCACATCCAATAAAAAAGCATAAACTATCATATTGATGACAAGAATTAGTTTGCGGCTGTATAGGAAGCTCTTCATGATGATGAGTAGGAGGAGCTGAAGGAGTAAGGTTGGGCATGTTCATCAAGTTCATGGAGCTTTCTTTTGAGTGGGCATCAAGGCTGGTTCACTTTATGTTGTGTTACCAGCTTAACATCAAGAAGAAGTATGAGCTTTGGTGTCTCGTGGGT